CAGGTTTCAGATGAGCTTCCAGACAAGACAGACTAGGAAGAAAGAGTGACGAACTACTTCCGAATATTGAATCACTGAAAAACTTATGAATAGCAGAGAAACACCGTCAGATATAGTGCCGGAAAATGAGCTCCTCAGGTTGGAAGGCACTCAAAATGTGATGGGGAAAGAGCTGCTTCCTCAAAGTAGAGTTGACTGTGATAAAGTGAATGGAGTAAAGCCTGCGGACCTTCATTTGCTGATAGGGCACAACTCAAAATGAAGAGAAACAGCTGTAAACATCCATTGAAAATCGGAACATGGAATTTACGAAGCATGAATCTGGGAAACTTGGAAGTTGTCAAAAATGATATGCATGAACATCGATATCTTAGGCATTAGTGAGCTGAAATGGACTGGTATTAGGCATTTTTAATCTGACAACCACATGATTTACTATGCCAGGAATGACAAATTGAGAGGAATGGTGTTGAATTCATCATCAAAAAGAACATACCCAGATCAGTCATGAGGTACAGTGCTGCCTGTGATAGGATAATATCCATGTGCCTACAGGGAAGCCCAGTTAATATCACTGTTACTCAAATTTACGCACCAACCACTAAAGCCAGTGAGGATGAAATAGAAGAATCCTAACTTCTTCTATCTGAAATTGATCAAACATGCAATCAAGATGTATTGATCATTACTGGTGATTGGAATGTGAAGGTTGGGAGCAAAGAGGAAGAATCAGTAGTTAGAAAATATGGCCTTGGTCCTAAAAATGATGCTGGAGAATGCATGGTGGAATGCTGCAAAACCAATGATTTGTAAATTTCAAATACCTTCTTCAGACAGCATAAGAGACAACTATAACATGGACCTCGCCAGCTGGAATACATAGAAATCAAATTGACTACATCTGTGGAAAGATAAGATGGAAAAGCTCCATATCATCAGTGAAAACAAGGCCAGGCACAGACTGTGCAACAGACCATCAATTACTCATATGCAAATTCAAACTGAAGCTGAAGAAAATGAAAACAAGTCCAAGAGAGCCAAAATATAACCTTAAATATATCCCAACTGAATTTAGAGAACATCTGAAGAACAGATTTGATACATTAAACACTAAAGACCGAAGACCAGAAGAGCTGTGGGATGACACCAAGAACATCATACATGAAGAAAGCAAAAAGTCATTGAGAAGACAAGAAAGAAAGAAAAGATCAAAATGGATGTCAGAAGAGACACTGAAACTTGCTCTCCAGTGTAGCAATGCCAAAGCAAATGGAAGAAATGAGGAGATCCAAGAGCTGAACAGAAAATTTCAAACCCCAGCTTGAGATGATAAAGCCAAATATTACAACAGAATGTGCAAAGATCTGGAATTAGAAAACCAAGAAGGAAGAACACGCTCAGCATTTCTCAACCTGGGGGAACTGAAGAAAAAGTCAAGCCTCGACTTTCGTTATTGAAAGATTTTTTGGGCAAATTATTGAATGATGCAGAAAGCATTAAGAGAAGATGGAAGGAATACACAGAGTCACTGTACCAAAAGGAAATGGTTAATGTTTGTTTCAAGAGGTAACATATGATCAAGAGCCAATGATACTGAAGGAGGAAGTCCAAGGTACATTGATGGAATTGGCAAAGAACAAGGCACCAGGAATTGATAAAATAGAAATCGAAGTCTTTCAAGAGAATAGGTGACACAGGAGGCACTCACTTATCTCTGCCAAGAACATTGGAAGACAACTATCTGGCCGACTGATTGGAAGAGATCCGTATCTGTGCCCATTCCAAAGAGAGGTGACTCATACGAGTAAAGTTTTAGTAAAGTAATATAGAAACGGCTGCAAGCATATATTGACCGAGAATTTTCAGAGGTTCAAGCCAGATTCAGAAGAGGCTGTGGTACGAGGGATATCATTTCTGATGTCTGATGGATCTTGGCTGAAGCAGAGAATTTCAGAAAGATATCCATCTGTTCTTTATTGACTATGCAAAGGCTTTTGATTGTGTGGATCATGACAAGCTATGGACAACATTGCAAAGTATGAGTGTTCTGGAACACTGAATTGTGCTCATAAGGAATCTGTTCCTGAACCAAGAGGCAGTTGTTTGAACAGAACATGGGAACACTGAATGTTTTAAAATTTAAAAAGGTGTGCAACAAGGTTGTATTCTTTCACCATACTTACTCAAGCTGTATGCTAAGCAAATAATCTGAGAAGCTGGGTTCTGTGAAGAAAAACGTGGCATCAGGATTGGAGGAAGACTAATGAACAACCTGTGATACGCAGATGATACAACTTTGCTTGCCGAAAGTGAAGAGGACTTAAAACATTTACTGATGAAGATCAAAGAACACAGCCTTCGATATGGATTACATCTCAGTGTCAAGAAAACAAAAATCCTCACCATTGGTCCAATAAACAACAGTGTTATCAACAGAGAAAAGATTGAAGTTGTCAAGGACTTCATTCTTCTTGGATCAACTATCAACAATCACGGAAGCAGCAGTCAAGAAATCAAACGATGTCCTGCATTAGGCAAATGTGCTGTACAAAAACTTTTTAAAGTGTTGAAGAGCAAAGATGTCAACTCAAGGACTAAGGTGAGCCTGACCCAAGCCATGGTATTTTAAATAACTTCATATGTATGCGAAAGCTGGACAGTGAATAAGGAAGACCATAGAAGAATTGATGCTTTTGAGTTATGGTGTTGGAGAATATTGAAAGTGCCATGGGTTGCCAAAAGAACCAATAGATCCGTTTTGGACAAAGTGTAGCCAGAGTGCTCCTTAGAGGCCAAAATGGCTAAACTTCGTCTCTCATACTTTAGAAATATTATCAGGAGGGACCAGTCACTGGAGAAGGATATCGTGTTTGATAATGGTCATAGAAAAAAAGATAGGGCCAGTGGCAGCATCGATGGACTGAAGCGTGGCAACAATAGTAAGGTTGGCCCAGAATCGGACAGTGTTTCGTTCTGCTGTGCATAAGGTTGGTATGGGTCGGTACTGACTTGATGGCATCTAACAGCAACAACATTTTTTTCTGTATTCTACTACCCGACCTTCTCACCATCTGTATCTCTGTTCCTATGTGCTTACCTTCTTTTACATTGTAATTGTTTTAATCATAGACAGTTTGTTTTCATAGTTTTGTTCTGTTCATCTGACAATGTCCCACTGCTATTCATAAGGTTTGCAGTGATGAACTATTCAGAAGTGGTCCATCTCACCTTCCTACTCTGTATTAGTCTGGATGCTCATCTAAAACCTGTCACCCATGGTAACCTTGATGGTATTTAAAATCCCAATGGCATACCTTCCAGAATTACAGCAACACATAAGCCACCACAGTTCAGCAAACTGACAGACGAATGTGGACAGATGTCATAAAACTATAGGATGATATATTAGAATTAAGAAAAGGAGGGATAGCTATGAGGGGGAGCAGAAAGCATGACAATTGGTTCATATGTTAGGAGAATAAAATTCAAAGGCCTGTTCCCTTATATTGAGTCTGAGAGATCAAGGGAAGAATTTGAGGAAAAGTTGATTTTAGGGCAAAATCTATTTGGTGAGATCTAGACATTAGCAGGGAGTCCTTTTGTGGCGCTGTGGGTTAATGCAGTGGACTGCAAAGTCAGTTTGAACTACATGGTTGATGGTTCAAGCTCACTAGCTGCTCCTTGGAAACCCTATACAGGGTCGCTATGGGTTGGAAGTGACTCAATGGTACTTAACAACAATAACAACAGACATTTGTAAGGAACGCTGGTGATGCTGTGATTCATTCTCAGTTGCTGACTGAAAAGTAGCAGTTCAAACATACTAGCTACTCTGCAGAAGTAAGATGTGAAAGTCTACTTCTGTGAAGATTACAATCTTGGAGCCCCTGTGGAGCAGTCATACTCTGTTTGATAGGGTCTCTGTGAATCAGATTTGGCCAAAGTTGATAGCGGTAGGCTTTAGTAGGTTTTGTCTTTCATGTAGGAAACCTAGGTTTGAGTTCCTTCTAGATTACCTCATGTGCAACCAATACCCATTTATCAGTGGTGGTTTGCATATTGCCATGATGCTGAACAGGTTTCAGCAGTTTGCATACTAAGACAATGGGAAGAAAGGCCTGTGGTCTACTTCCAAAAATCAGTCTTTGACATCATGCAGATTACAGCTGTCTGTTCTGCAACAAATCATGAGGATAGTGTAGAACTGGGCAAAGGGTTGTTGTTATCTTTTGATGACCAACTCACTGGGAGCTAACAACCATGACGGAAGGAGAAATATATGGTTGCAGGTGTGTTTTTGTTGTTATTTGCATAGAGGAGTTGTAGTCTCATGAATTATTGTGGAATGAGGAAACATCATACTTAAGATAGTAGATGTCAGAGTATTACTTTTTTTGTTTAAGATTAGAATCAAGAAGCAGAGACATGAAGACAATATATAAAAGAAGAGTCAGGATATGTTCTAGAATCCTACTATTCAGCAGTGTAGAATGTAGCTTAGAGTATAATGGGGAAATAAAGGGTGACAAGTAAAATACCACCAGTTCAATTATTAACTACAATTTTACTCTTTCAAAAAAGTAAATTAAAAATCATGTTTATGAAGAATACCTGGCTATTGTGTTCCTTAAAACAATTATGCTACTTCTTATTACTGTAGAATTTTTACACCTGTATTTTTTTGTTTACTGAGAAAAATCGTTATTATATAATAGTTTTTGATATCTGTTGACATTATAAATTAAATTTCTTTAATTTGATTTATGATTTCAAAACCTCTTTTAAATAATTTGCATTGGAAATTCCTGAATTAGAAATGACTTTTCAATGTTACAAAATTCTCTGGTAATGACTTATAGTTATTTCTAGTATGTAAAAATAAAGAGACAAGAGCAAGAAAGCAAAATGAGAATGGCTTGAAGAAAGTTAAGTATATTAAATGAAACATTTCTTACTGTCTTCCTCGTTTGAGTAATTATTTCTGATAATTTGCTTTTTAGGAAATTATTGAAAAATATATATCAATCAGAGTCTGAAGGATGGGAGCCTTCAAAAGACTTGAGAAGACAGGTTGGACATTTAGAATCAGAACTTGCGCTTCTAAGTACGCTTGTTGGCATCAACATAAAAAAATACTCAAAGAAAACGGAGGACATCCCAAGCACTGAGATGACACAAAGAAGTAAGCACTAATTCTAACCTAAAAATGTTATTGACCTTTACATTGCTGTGCTTAGGAATGTGGATGTTATAATATTGTGTGTCAGTTTGTTGTACTGTGGTTGCTTGTGTGTTACTGTGATGCTGGAAGGTATGCTTCTGGTATTTTAAATACCAGAGTGATCTCTCATGGTGGGCGGGTTTCAGCAGAGCTTCCAGACTAAGCCAAACTAGGAAAAAGGAAAAGTAAACCACTCCTGAATGATTCGCCACTGAAAACCTAATGAGTAGCAACAGAACATTGTCTGATATAGTGCCCGAAGATGAATCAGAAGGGTCAGTATGAGTCAGAGCTTACTCATCGGCACTAAACAACCAAAGGAAGACTAAGTAACATGACTATTACTCAAATTTATGCACTACCCAATAAAGCCAATGTTGGAGAAATTGAAGAATTCTACCGACTTCAGAAAGCTGTTTTCCTGTGCTTTATTGACTACACAAAGGCTTTTGATTGTGTGGATCATGACAAGCTATGGACAACATTGTGAAGTATGAATATTCCAGAATACTTAATTGTGCTCCTGAGGAATCTGTACCTGGACCAAGAGGCAGTTGTTCGAATAGAACATGGGAAAACTGAATGGTTTAAAATTAAGAAAGATGTGCAACAGGGTTTTATTCTTTCACCATACTTATTCAACCTGAATGCTAAGCAAATAATTTAAGAAGCTGGATTCTATGAAGAAAAATGTGGCAGCAGGATTGGAGGAAGACTCATTAACAACCTGCGATATACAGATGCTACAACCTTTTTGCTGAAAGTGAAGAGGACTTAAAACATTTACTAATGAAGATCAAAGAGCACAGTCTTTTGTATGGATTAAATCTCAATGTAAAGAAAACAAAAATCCTCACCACTAGACCAATAAACAACATTCTGAACAATGGAGAAAAGACTGAAGTTGTCAAGGACTTCATTCTTCTTGAATCAACTATCAACACTCAAGAAAGCAGCAGTCTAAGAAATGAAACGATGTATTGCATTAGGCAAATCTGCTTCACAAGACCTATTTAAAGTATTGACGAGCAAAGATGTCAGCTTGAAGACTAAGGTGTGCCTGACCCAAGCCATGGTATTTTCAATAACCTCATATGCATGTGAAAGCTGGACAGTAAATAATGAAGATCATAGAAGAATTGATGCTTTTGAGTTACGGTGCTGGAGGAGAATATTGAAAGTGCCATGGGTTGCCAAAAGAACCAAAAGATCCGTGTTGGAAGAGTGCTCCTTAGTGGCCAGGATCGCCAAACGTCATCTCTCATACTTCGGACATATCGTCAAGAGGGACCAATTGCTGGAAAAGGATATCATGTTTGGTAAGGTGGTGGGTCAGAGAAAAAGAGGACGACCCCCAATGAGATAGATTTTCCAAGTAGCAGCATTGATGGTCTCAAGCGTGGCAAGACTAGTGAGGTTGACCCAGGATCGGGCAGTGTTTCATTCTGTGCATAAGGTTGCTATGAGCCTGTACCGACTCGATGGCATGTAACAACAATAACAACAACCAACTTCTTCACTCTGAAATTTATCAAATATTTTATCAATGTGCTGCTGATTAGAATGCAAAAGTTGGAAACAAGAAGTATCAGTAGTTGGAAAATAGGATTCTGGTGATAGAAAGGTTGCTGGAGATTGCATGATAGAATTCTGCAAGACCAACAACTTATTCATTGCAAATACCTTTTTCAACATAACTGGCAATTATGCATGTTGTTGTTAAGTGCCATTGAGTCAGTTCTGACCCATAGCGATCCTGTATTGGGTTTCCAAGGAGCAACTGGTGAGTTTGAACCACCAACCGTGCAGCTCAAATGTCTTTGCAGTCCAGCACATTAATCCACAGTGCCACACCAGGACTAGGACCTCATTAAATGAACACACAGAAATCAAATTGACTACATGTATTTGAAGAGATGCTAAAGAAACTTAAGTTCATCAGCCAAAACAATGCCAGGGGTCAACTATGGAGCAGTCCATCAGTTACTGCTATACAAATTTAGTCTCAGACTGTGGAAAATTAAAACACATCCACTAGAACAAAAATATCTGAATGTAGAAACAATCTCAAGAACACATTTGATGCAGTAGACAACTACAACAATGAGCAAAATTGACTATTGAATGACACAGGAAGTATCAAAAGAAAATGAAATGAATATACAGAACCACTGTACCAAATAAGAAGTGTTTGACATTCAACCTTTTCAAGATCAACAAGTGGTATTGAATGAAGTAATCCAAGCTTCATAAAAGGCATTGCCCAAAAACAAGGCTCCAAATACAAATTGAAGTTTCAACAAACCAATGCATCACTGTAAGTGCTCCCTCACTCATCTCTACCAAGAAATTTGGAATACACCTACCTGACCACCCAATTGGAAGAGATCCATATTTGTATGCATTCCAAAGAATGGTAGCCTAACAGAATGTGAAAATTATTGAACAGTATCATATGAAAGTAAAATTCTAAGACAGAACCAACTTGACTATACCTAAGAACAACAGCAATGTTGTTTTAACGTTCTGTATGGTAACTAATTGAAAGTATGGTTTTGATAAATTTGTTATCAGGTGTCTTTTGAACATTGTAATGTGCCTGGGTCTTGGTTGGTGATTGTGTGTCATCAAGCCACTTCTGACGTTTTGTAGGGTTTGCGAGGTTATAAATCTTTAAGGAGCAGGGAGCGTTATCTTTATCCTCTGGAGCAGCTGATGGATTCAAAATGCTGACCTTGCAGTTGGCAGCCCCATGAATAATCTTGCGGTGTGCATAATACTCCTTTAATATTTGCTTGAAGCAAATATTAAAGAAGAGACATTGTTCTTTTTATCAGTCAACTTTTAATAGTCAAGTAATAGAGTTAAACGATGGTAGGGACAGTGCCATCATTAATTTATAAATCTTACAAATTGTTTATCAGTAAAATAAAAGCTGGGAGCATGATGGTTCTCTATGATAAGCACTGGATTGCATGATCAGCAGTTTGAACCTACCAGCTGCTCCAGGGGAGAAAAATGAGAATTTCTCTTCTTATAAAGTTGCACAGCCTTAGAAACCCTGTACATGATCACCATGAGTCTGAACCAACTCGATGACACTTAGCAACAATAACAACAAATGATAAAAGATGCCAACCTGCTCATTTATATATAGTCTTCTATGCCTAAATATCTTGGTCTATGGCCAAGATCAATGTTTCAGCAGCTGGACCTTTTTCCACAAGGAGAATTTCTGGTTTCAGCAATTAAGTTTTCTTGCCAAGCTTCTGACATGCTCTAATAGGTAAAAGGAAGCTAATTCAGCTGTGCAACTCTGTGTTTAGAAACCTACGAACAGCATTCTTTAAAGCAGTAGTTATATTTTTTGGATGTGGTTCATGATCTTTCCACCAAAAGCCTCATAAGAACCAGCATGAAGGTCAAGTGTTTCTAGCTTTCTATTTCTTCCATTCTTTCTGACTCCTCCCATGACGCTCTCTGCTGGGTTTGATAATTCTCTGTAATATTTCACAGAATTCACAGACTGTACTCAGAATTATTTTATGTGATTTATTAGGGTGATAGATTGGTTGTGTGCCATCGAGTCCATTTTGACTCATAGTGACCCTGTGTAGGGTTTCCGAGGCTATAAATCATTATGGGAGCAGAAAGCCTCAACCTTCTCCCGCCTAGTGGCTGGTAGATTTGAACTGCTGACCTTGTGGCTTGCAGTCGAACTCGTAACTCACTACACTACCATGGCTCCTTGTTGCAATGGTACGTGGTTTTAAGCCACTATTTCTACTGTTGTTGTTTTTAAGTGCCATCGAGTTGATTCCAACCCATAGTGACCCTGTATAGAGTTTCTGAGGAGTGACTGGTAAACTTGAGCCACCAACCTTGCAGTTCAAACGACTTTGCAGTCCAGTGCATTAACTCGCAGTGCAATACCAGGACTCCATTATTTCTTTATTCCTTTATTTCTACTGTTGTTGTTGTTGTTAGGTGCTATTGAGTCGGTACCAACCCATAGCTACTTTATTCACAGCAGAATGAACCACTGCCTGAACCTGGGTCAACCTCACTACTCTTGCCACACTTGAGTCTATCGATGCTGCCACTTGCCCAGTCCATCTCATTGGGGGTCTTCCTCTTTTTCTCTGAACCTCCACCTTACCAAACATGATATCCTTCTCCAGTGACTTGTCCCTCCTGACAATATATCTGAAGTATGAGACACAAAGTTTGGCCATCTTGGCTTCCAAGGAGCACTCTGGCTGCGCTTCTTCCAAAACAGTTCTTTTGGCAGCCCATGGTTCTTTCAATATTCTCCAACACCATAACTCAAAAGCATCAAATCTTCTACGGTCTTCCTTATTCATTGTTCAGCTTTCGCATCCATATGAGGTTATTGAAAATACCATGGCTTGGGTCAGGGGCACCTTAGTCCTCAAGCTGACATCTTTGCTCTTCAACACTTGAAAAAGATCTTGTGCAGCAGATTTGCCTAATGCAAGATGTCATTTGATTTCTTGACTGCTGCTTCCATGAGTGTTGATAGTTAATCCAAGAAGAATGAAGTCCTTGACAACTTCAATCTTTTCTCTGTTGATAAGAATGTTGTTTATTGGTCCAGTGGTGAGGATTTTTGTTTTCTTTACATTGAGATGTAATCCATACCGAAGGCTGTGCTCTTTGATTTTCATTAGTAAATGTTTTTTTAAGTCCTCTTCACTTTCAGCAAGCAAAGTTGTATCATCTGCATATTGCAGGTTGTTAATGAGTCTTCCTCCAATCCTGATGCCACGTTTTTCTTCATAGAACCCAACTTATTTGATTATTTGCTTAGCATACAGGTTGAATAAGTATGGTAAAAGAATACAACTCTGTCTCACACCTTTCTTAATTTTAAACTATTCAGTGTTCCTATGTTCTATTTGAACAACTGCCTCTTGGTCCAGGTACAGATTCCTCATGAG